GAGAGACAGAGATGGAGAGACAAATGGGGGAGACAGAGATACAGAGGCAGGAGAGACAGAGCCCGGGTGAGGGGTGGGGAGAGAGGCCCTGGGGAAGGAGGTGTGTAAGGAAGCAGCAGAGAAGCCGGAGGGAACGGGGAGGGTTTGGGGGCACTGGGAGGCCCTGACACCCCACGTGCCCCCCAGGGTGGAGACGACCTGGACCCCAACTACGTGCTCAGCAGCCGCGTGCGCACCGGCCGCAGCATCAAGGGCTACACGCTGCCCCCCCACTGCTCCCGGGGCGAGCGCCGTGCTGTGGAGAAGCTCTCCGTGGAAGGTGAGCCCGCCCCCTGCCCGGGTCACCGGCTCCTCCAGGGGCAGATCTCTGGGCCCCGGGACCCCCATGTTCTAACGTGCAAGCTGCTTGGTAACCCTGGTGCCGGGCGAGGGACAGGGCAGCGTCCTCCCGGTGGGAGAGTTGAGGGACCCTGAGCAGATCCATGTGGACACCGGCTGCGCCCGGTGCTGAAAGGCACCCCGTCAGCCAGCGAGTGCCTCTGGCCGGGCGGGTCCTGTGTGTGGAGCTGGGGCTCCCAAAATGAAGAAGACAAAGTCACTGTTGTCAGAGCTGCCGGCTGGTGGGGAGATGAGAGGGTGTAAACACAGAAACCCAGAAAAGAACAAGGTAATTCCAAAATGCAAGCCAAGACAAGGGGCGTGGCGGGGAACAGCCGGTGTTGGGGGAGGCTATCCTGTGAAGAAGGAGCTGAGACCTGACTGATGAGGAGGAGCGACCTTGGGAAGGGTGCCAGCAGGCAGCGCAGCAAGTGCAAAGGCCCTGAGGTGGGAGAAACCATTGTGGCTGGAGCGAGAGGGTGAGGAGGTGAGGCCAGAGGGGGATGGTGGTCAGAGCCTTATGGGCTGACAAGAGGACTTCGGCTTTGACTCTGAGGGAGGCGGTAGCCATGGGAGGGCGGTGAGCAGGGGAAGGACAGGTTCAGATTTCCGTGGAGCCCTCTGGCTGCCAAGTGGGGGACAGACGGGGCAAAAGTAGGAGCAGAGAGACCGTGAGGGGGCAACCGTAGTGGTCCAGGTGAAGGGTGCAGGGTGACAATGGAATGGGAAGAAAGGGTATGTTTTGGAGGTTGAACCATCAGAACTCATGTTGTTCTGATAAACGTTTAACTGGCTCTCAAAAAAAGAAAAAAAGAAAAAAAGAAAGCTCTGATTTGCAGCAACTGCCAATTTCTGTGGTGTAAATTCTCCTACGATGGCCAATTTTAAGTTATGACATCATACAGAGATGGGAAGAGATGAACAGTAGCACATCATCCTATAGTGTTTCCACCACACAGCTATGGTAGATGAAGATAACTTCAAGAACACAGATAATAGTAAATATAGTAAAATAGTTAGGAAGTTATAGTGCTAAGTATTTATTACCTTTGTTTTTATTTTTTAAAATATATATTTTTTTATTTAAGAGATGAAGGGAGAGGGAGAGAGAGATAGCAACATCAATGATGAGAGAGAATCATTGATTGGCTGCCTCCTGCACGCCCCCCACTGGGGATCGAGCCCACAACCTGGGCATGTGCCCGGCCTGGGAATCAAACCGTGACCTCATGGTTCATAGGTCAACGCTCAACCACTGAGCTACCCCAGCCAGCCTACCTTTGTTTTAAATATATTTTATTTAGTTTCTAAGATTACCTTATTATTGTTTTTTAATATATTTTATTGGTTTTTTTTTACAGAGAGGAAGGGAGAGGGATAGAGAGTTAGAAACATCCATGAGAGAGAAACATCCATCAGCTGCCTCCTGCACACCCCCTACTGTGGATGTGCCCGCAACCAGGGTACATGCCCTTGACCTGAATCGAACCTGGGACTCTTCAGTCCACAGGCCGACGCTTTAGCCACTGAGCCAAACTGGTCAGGGCTAAGATTACTTTATTTTTAATTATAGAGTATATGGTATATGATATATAACATATAGTATATGATACAAATAATGTGTATTATGTATATAACTAATTATGAGTTACATAAATATGCATATGTTCAAATATACTTATCATATACATAATACATATTTATCATCCATATTATAATAATTTTTACTGATGGCTCCCCAAATCCTGAGACTGTCTGGCCAGCCAGTAGGAGTGGCACCCCCACACTAATGCCTGCAGGTGGATTGGACGTGAGGGTCCAGGGAAAGGGAGAATCATGGTTTCTGGCTTGAGCACATGATGTGGCCTGGCAGACAGGGAGGAGCACGTTTGGGGGGTCATGAATTTGGGATTAGACATGGCATTTAGGCACCTTTAGGACGTACCTGGGGCCAAGGCCCAAGCCAGTCCAGGGCAGCAGTGTGGGGTCCCGGGGGCCTTCGCACCCCGCTTCAGGAGGGACAGGCTGCTGACACTGCTCCGTGTGCCTCTCAGCCCTCAACAGCCTGACGGGCGAGTTCAAGGGGAAGTACTACCCGCTGAAGAGCATGACCGAGCAGGAGCAACAGCAGCTCATCGACGACCACTTCCTGTTCGACAAGCCCGTGTCCCCACTGCTGCTGGCTTCGGGCATGG